CTTAAACAGCGTATGAAAGCGACTGCGCTGAAAATCGATCAAGATCAAAAATCTTTGTTTTAAGCCAGTGAATGATGACTCATCGGAGTGAATCATTACCTTTCATGCGTTAGCTATGAGTCATCGCTCCGATTAATGCAAGGTAATCGGCAGTAAGCCGGGGTGTTGAGGAATTATAAAACGTTGAAACATTTGTTTTCACAGGGCGCTTTTCGGGAGAAGCCAGGAGAAGCTTGAAACCGAGAAGTTGAAATCGGTGTGTGGGCGAATTAGTTCAAGATATACTCGAATCCTGATGTAGGATATCCTGCATATATGGCTTGTATTGTTCGATCCATTTCCGTTTGACGCACTTGATTATCGATTTATTTAACCCTGGAAACAAGTCTGTCGAACATTCAAAAATAGAAGGCAAACCCTACGTATCGCCGTCATATGTAATTTAGAGATATAATTGTCAAAGTTTTCCGTTTTCATGCAAAACATGCTATGATCTAACTTTTATATCGAAGTATTTTATGAGAACTTTTTTCATTTATTGATCATCGGCAAAAAGATTGCCTGCTTAATATACTAAACTAAACATACTCCTGAATTCTAATCAAGAAACTAAATCGGCAGGATAGTTTCTTATCGTATTCCTGATCAGTAAATTACGAAAGTCACTTACAAAAACGCTTTAAAAAGTTAGAATCATTTCGATCCATTTGAATATGCGTTTTAAAAGCAAGGGTATGATTCAAATCAGGGTTCACTATTCTCTCTCCTAATTTTTCCATCCAAGACAGGACGGAAAATAGCGGGTCTTTCTGTCTAGTGCCACTCAAGCCAGTGTTTGAAAAACCTATTTCAACAATTTATGCTATTTTGCGCTAATTTTAACAATGTTTTAGATAATTTAAAAATAACCGTATTATAACTGCACAACAATAATAACGATGATTACAATAAACTATCCTATTTAGTTTTCTTTCGTTCAGTTTCTTCATTCGGGATCGTTTGCAAATCCATGAAGAATTCGAAGAAAAAGATATATCTCTGTATGACAGAATAGCGCAAGAAAATAAAGAGCAGTTAAGTCAGTTTTTTGCTTGTTTCTAGGAAAGTAGACATTGTGCCAAAAAGGGGATATCGGATTTGGACTCTACGTGAAAAGATGAATCAGAATATCTGTTCCTTCCCAAACCATCCCAATGAAAAGTAATCTAATTTGCTGCGTATTCAGTATCTGATCAAATAAAATCCAACTTTGGCATGAAGTAATTCAAGATAAAAACTATTTATTAATAATTAAGTCGACAGACATTATGAGTTTTTGCTGGGAATTTTTTTTCCTGTTTAGTCACTTCATTTTGCAAAATGTGCGCGGTGTGATCTGGAGAACTACGCAATATAGAAAACTTCTCAGAACAGGACGATATACACCACCTATTGTAGACTGACAACTACAAGTTCACTATAAGTTCGGCGATGTTTCGTTCTCATCAGAAATGTTTGCTCTAGGTCGTAGTGCCAATAAAAGTGTTTTTTCATTAGAAGACAAAAGTTTTCGAAAAGTCAGCTTTTCTATAAACTGTCATACCCTCTGACAAAGACCAAATAACTATGAATCCTAATAGCAGACATCGTGGGCTGTCTGATGATGTATTTAGCTTAGTATCGGAGATTTAGAAAACAAACTGTATTTCTGACGAGGGGAAGTGGGTCCTAAGGTCATGTGAGACAAAGTCCGTTTATTATTTTAAAGCCGTGTATGAGAAGGTTATTTTTAAGTGACTCAATAATCAGATCATCTTGAATAGTCAAGCATTTTTTGTTTATCGGTCAATCTTCTTACGACTGGGCCCATATTTATACTTTAATGTCGGCAGAGAATCCTGATGTGTACGCGACACAAGTAGACGAGTAAATTACTAAGGTATACAGGAAACTACGATATGAATAAGATCTGTCCATCTGATTTAATATTATAGTGACTTGTTTGTGTTGGTACATGAGAAAAAGAATATTTAGATTTAATAAAAAACTTGATTGATCATCTACTATCCTTTTCAATGAACCGTGCAGTCTGATGTTTTGCTTATAACTCTTTAACGAAGAACGATAGGGACTGCGGTTTTCAGTTTCTGAAAGTGAATTGATGGGACTTTGATTCTATGTGAAACGAATGGAAAAAGCGACATCTTCAGAGAGATGTGTGGACAAGGTGTCTAAAGACGAACTGACGAATCGCAATTTTTAAGCGTGAAAATGATGCAACAATTCGCATTTTACCCTTATTTTGCGAATTCGCAGCGAATTGATGTGAACTGTATCGAATTCGTACGGATACTCTTAAAAACTTTTACGAATTCGTAAACATGCGAATAGTTCAAACACGATGCTGATCAATTCGAAAATAATTCCTAAAATTAGTTTACGAATTCCTGTTCACTGCTTCCAGATTCGTGTACGTTTGCACAACTCAAACAGTTTCAAAACATTTCTGGCACATTTTTAAGTATCAATCGAACAAAAATTAAGCCTTTTGACTTTTCTCACCGTTACCCAGTTTCTAACAATTAAATTAAGGATACCTTTCAAAACTAACAGTGACAACTGTAATCCGTACTTATACTGCACTTTATTTCTAAGTAATCGTTGAACTAAACTTACCAAATAGTCTTTCCCATATTGAAGATAATTCTTGCATTCACTCATTCTTCGTCAGCAGCCTAGCTTTGGGCCAAGTCGTGGAATGAGTCTGTTTAACGTTTACCCTTGGATAGCACGGATAAAAAAGATCTTTGGAAAACTTCTTAATATTTTTGTCTAGATGAAGGTCATCAGAGGAGACTGGTGTATGCGGATTGATGAGTTTTATCGAACAATGGGCGGTTAAGCTTTATATGACTAATTTTCTAATGCTTGCAGCCTTTTTTTTATTATTCAAAGCAATTATTACTTTCCCATCGAGTCATAAGCGTTCTGATACACAAAAGTAATGTTTTAGATGGAGCTTTTTACATTTTCAGTCTCAAACAAAAAATCTGCTTCCTGAGATATGACCATGAGAATTACTGACAGAGATATTTCAGCTTTATCAGATGATGCTTTCATCGGACCATAATGTTATCATCTGAAAAATGTGATTGTTTAGTAGAAGTCGAGAATTTTTTGGACTGGATCGATGCAAAAGGGAGTCAGTTTTACTGTTGATTTTTGACCTTCTGATGAATAATACCAAGACGGCAAACATTTTTTCCACATTTTATATTTCAATAAGCTGTAGAGTATGTTTTGTACATTATTCACTGATCATTTAAAGTTAGTAATAACTTGCATCTGTGTGCATTGACACAGTAAGCCAGTATCGTGGATTTACGTTCTACCTGAGTAGAGAAATAAACACAGGTTTTTGTTTTGAATCATATGAATGAGTAAAGTAACTATCAAACAAACGATTATTTCACTCCTATACCTTTCTAGAAGATTCTGTGTAGTGTTTGTAGGAGGATAGTGAAAAAAATATTATAAAACCCTTTAATATTACTTCAGACTACAATACGAACGTTAAACCAGACAATCGAAAAATAAATAACAGTAGGTTTTATTATTAACACAGTCGGTGAGAAAGAAACAGATACTAACAATGGCCGTAGGAATAATCGTAGAGACAGATTCAAAATTGCATTTTATGGTTCGTGACGTTAAGAATAGTTCGAATTTATTCACAGACAAATTTTCTGACTGTTTCAGATATCTTCTGGCTATTTGACGAAAAATGGTTTTAGGTGAAGTTTTGATCGGTGGTGCTGTTGGACTTGGAGCTTATGAGTTATTGAAGCGTCGTCAAAGTAATCAAAATAATAAGAATAATCAGAATAATCGTCAAGACTATGGCGGCGGTTATGGCGGCGGTTATGGTACCGGTTATGGTGGCGGTTATGGCGGCGGTTATGGTACCGGTTATAGCGGCGGTTATAGTAATGATTATGGTTTTGGAAACCCATACGGGTATCAATACGCACAACCTTACACTTACAATTACGCAAGCCAATCAACATATGGTAATTACCATTATTGATTTTTATGATTATTTAAATAATACATGTAAACCCAGTTCTTGTCTCGTACACCCGTTAAGTATTTATTTAAACAATAAAAGACTTTGAGATACATACTTCCTTCTACATTGTACACGCTTTGTCCAAGAAAGATTGCAAATGTTAGTTAACTTCCCATTAGTTACAGGCACAAATACTTACCCCAGTATATAGAACAGATTTTAAATGGATATGATTTCTTTAATGTAGAACAAAATTGCTTCTTAGTGGAGCACATACCTCAATACGTTGAGAACACCAAACATTTTGCTTCATAACTCATCATATATCTATCTGTGCTTAGAAATTTTGTTCGTATGCAGAAAATAATCACTGCAATTTATAAAAAAAAATTTTTGTACTTCTGCTCTTCGCTTTCTTTCTTATCTTCCATAATACCATCTACATTTTTTTTTGTACACGTGTTTAGTGGCAATATCATGTTTAGTACTTAGGAGTAGAGTCCTGCAACCCGACTCGAACCCGATCTAAACCCAATCCTAGGATCGAATCGGGTTCGGGTTGAACATTTTGCGGCGCAATTTAAAATATATATAATAATTTCAATTTTGTATTACTCTTTGAAAAGTTAAATCTGCTGGAGTTTTCAGTTGAAATACTTATTTCAGAACAACTGCATTCACTAACAAGGCCAGGTCTTCAGATGCACAACTCCGTTTTTAATGATATTATGTTAATAGAGGAAAGTGAGCTGAAAAAACCCTTATAGAAGGACTCAGATCAGTTCCTTCAAAAGTTATGAATTTTTTTGTTCCAAAGGAACACGGTGTGTAGTAACAGTAATAATTCTGTAACCCTGTCAAAACAAGGAGTTAAGAGGTAAAATTTTGTTTTGTGCTTTTGCTAATAGCCTGCTAATATTACAGAAAATCTGAGCGTTATATCTTTCTAAATTCGCTTGTTATTGAACTTTTCTCCTTGAAGGAAAACAATGTTTTTCCAAACCGCACAATTTTCAATGATAAAATTTCTCTTTTATTACAGGTAATATTGCGAATTTAGAAAGATATAACGCGGAATATTAGCAGACTATTAGCAAAAGGTCACTCGCTTGTAATGCAATGCCCTCGGCCAAACAAATAGATAAATAAAAAGACATAAACTTAAGAACAAAACAAAACAGTAAACATTTATCGGATCGGGTCGGATTCGGGTTACGTTCTCTTAATCCGTGCAGATCTTACTCAGGAGTCATTGCACGAGAAAGACGACTGTTTCACATAGAAGATTGCTCAATGACTATTTCAGATTTTTTTCTGTGTTGTGTTGCGTTTATTAGCAATAAGTGACAAAACAAACATATTATCTCGATTTCTAAGCTGATCGAGGCTGGATACGGTTAAGAGATTGATGAGTGTTTACAACGTGTCTGTATCTTGAGACTAGAAGTCGCTTCTGATGGTTTTGGGAGTCTTGGTTTCTTATCCAGTGATACGAATGCTAGGTATCGACTAAATCGACAGTATTAGTCTGCTCGTACAAGATCGAGAAATATTTTGAAATATTCACGGACTATCTAATGGTATTCTTTTGAAAAATATGTCGTTTTTCATTTAGACATAAAAGACCCTCGAGGTGAATGCTTACGTCGACTTTGATCGCAAAACTTTCTGTTACAAATTTGCTTATCCCAAACTTTTGACGGCGATTTCAGATGGTACACTGAAAGTACTATCTACTGCAAGTAGTCCGACTTCAACGTAAGCTCATAATAACGAGATCGATCGCTCACAAAAGTGTTCCATGAAGCTCCGTTTCGGTCTGGCTGTAATGTATGAGGTAAATGGTATACGTAATATTTGTATGTCATTCTATGGTAGACATCAAGTGCTACCTATCCTGAAAATACTGTGGTTTCATGTCTTCTCGTTCACGAGAAAAACGAAACGTGCGTTTTTCACGCGCACAGCTTCTCGAACTTTACTCTAGTCGAGAAAATTTCATATCTACAGAACGAAAAGTCCGGAAAGCCTACAAATTTGGATGTATAGGTTTTCGACGATGCTCTACAGGATGAGGCTACTTAGAAAAAAAATCCGAAATAGTTATTGAGCTTGGATTGTCGTGGCTTATGTGCAACAGCTCTTAGGTGGAAAAGTATTTTCTATAGTATAATCCTCTTTAAATAAATAATGGTATATATATACTTCCTCCTACTGATCAGCGTCTATTAAAATGTAGATAAAACATACATACACAATATGATTTATAAAGGAGAAAGCGTGCGCAGAAACTGAATGGAAAAGGTTGACAGTAGGCGATTTACGAATGGCATAACATTAACTAACGAGGGAGGTCCACCAACTGTTCAATCGCTTTTGAGACGAAACCTAGTAGTTGATAGGTAATCGACCATTCTATTCCGAATATCGACATGAGACGGGCAGTTAGGCCTCCAGAGACCCGTTTTCCTGAAAACCAGTTTTTCAGACACTAAAAAATAATTCAAACCTTTATTAATGATGCATGATTGTAGCCCGCAAATTTCTGATTAAAATGAGACATCTCCCAGCTCTACATGTCTTTTCTTTGCAAAACTATAGAGTTTACAAAAAAAGCCCTAAATTACTTTTTTCCTTATTTCTGTAGCTTTGAGCTGGCAATGTACAGTTAAGGTTTCTCTGGTAAATTCTATAACTTTGCAAAAAAAGGTCATGTAGAGCTGGGAGATGTCTCATTTTAATCAGAAATTTGGGGGCTATAATCATGCCTCATTAAGAATGGTTTTAATTATTTTTTAGAGTTTCTGAAAAACTGGCTTTCCGGAAAAAGGAATAAGACCAGAAAACACACATCAAGTCGATTTGAGGTATTTTGTCGATGAAGGATACAAACTCTTGACTAAGAGAAGCCGTCAAAATTCGCATCGGTGAATTTATTCACCGGTGAATATTTTCACCAAAAACGGTTAATATCAATTAACTGCTTGCTATTGTGATCGCTAATTCTCCGATGATTGCAGTGACAGTTGTTGATGGAAGAGGACAAAATATTTAACATGTCCAAATCTGAAGTCTCTGCGTT